AAGCTGAATTGGCCAATGTGAAGCAGTTTGGGCCACAAAGGTATGGATAGAATCCCGTAACTGGGATAAGCTTGTCTTCACAAGGAGACAAAGCCTTGAGACTATGCAGCTTTGAATTTCTGTCTTACTCCTGGTGAGAATACATACAAGTTTTCTGGAGGGTATACAGCTAATTTGCCACCTTTAGGATGACAGACACAGCCAATGATGGCACAGCTGTAAGGGAGAAGGAGCCTAGATTCTTGATGACATCGGTAAGTAGTTTTGTATCCTAGTCTTTCTCCCCTCAGTCATCTTGTTGCCCCAAACAAACTCGTTAAAATCACTAATCATATCTTCAAGTACTTAAAGAGGGAAACACACATACATAAAGAGCTACCTATGAAACTAAAATTCATAGAATTTGTAGAATATAGTGGCAGAGTTTGATTAATGAGAAACTGGCATCATTACCTTGTGTCATAAGACTAGTATGAATAACTACCCCAAAATTAAAACATTACAATTAAAATTAAGACAACCTTATACCATACAGCTGTTTTAGCATACAATTAAGTTGACTGCTCTGTCCTTAATTTCATTATATACAGTACATTATCATTTGCATATATTGTTTTTTGACTTTTAAACAAAATTACAGGTGTCCTGAAGGGGAAGACTATATGAAAGAATGTAGCACTTTTTACATGTTGATATTCCACTGTATCTCTATTTAAATATGAGAGGTACATTATTTGTTTTAAAGCGATATTTTCTCTATAGTTTTATAGCATTGGGTACATAATTATTTCAGTCATCCCCACTGGGTTTATTTTGTATAATTTTTATTTCAGCTTTACTGAAGTTATAGACATATAAAATTGGAAAACACTTAAAGTGTACATTCTGATGATTTGGTATATTGTGAAAGGATTTGTGATTTAATACATTGTGAAAGGATTTCCCTCAACTGGATTTCATTTTTTATTTATGTATCTTCAATTTTTTTATTTTTATAAATTAATTAATCTATAAACAGATTTTATTAATTTAATTTAATTTTTATAAATTAAAAAATTACTATATGTCTTTACTTTTATTTATATGTCTTTCTCTAAGTTAATTCTGTAATTGGAGACTTGCATCATTTAGAATTTGCAGCACCAAGCACAGTGCCTAACAACCACTAGCCAAATAATCAATCAACCAACCAGTCTGCTAAATACAATAGGGACTCAAAAAATGTTTTCAGCAATATTTTGAAAAAATAGTTAAGGAAAAACCCAAAGAAAAGTACAGATGAAAGTAAGTTGTCTGAAGTATTTCCCTCACTGTTCTACTCTATTATAAGAAATGATAAAAATTTAGCAACAAAAAAATTAAGGCTTAAAGCCTTCTTTGGTAGGTTATACTGGACTCATTTCTTTAATTTTACTTTTTCTTCCACTAAGTTGCAAGAACGACTGAGAAAGCATTTGCTAAAGCAGCAGTGACAACAAATGTTAAACCTACTTTAGGTATCTGCACACATTAAACACCAATTTAAAAATTTTAGTAAAGTTAATATACAAATGTTGACTCAGAATGAAGATATTCTTGCTACTATAGTGATTCCTATGATTCAATTAAAGTCATGGCAGAATAAAATCTAGCCAAAGGTTTGTAATTTCTGTTGATCTTTTCAAAAAACAATTGTTGGTTTCATTGATCCTTCTATTTTTCTCTCTTTAGTTTGTTTCTGCTTTCATCTTTACTTTCTCCTTCTGCTAAGGTTAGTTTGTTCTTCTTCTAGTTCTTTGAAGTATACAGTTAGGTTGCTTATTTGAAATCTTCCTTCTTTTTGTGTCCCATATATTTTCGTATGCTTTGTTTCTAAAGACATTTTCTAAAGATATCTTTAGATATCTAAAGCTATTTTCTAATTTCCTTTTTATTTTTTTTGACACATTTGGATTTTCAAGAATGTGTTAATTTCTGCATGTTTGAGAATTTCCCATTTAAGTGTGTATGATGGTATTACTGTCTGATGCTCCTTTATAGACATTCAATGAAACCTTTTTAAGAATCTTTCTATTTACTAAAAGATGTTTGAAACTTTTAACATAACAAAATTTCTTTTAAAATTGATTTCTCTTTTAGTAGGCGCTTATTTGAATTGTGACTGTTCTGATACATGTGAGATGACAGTGACCCCTTTTAAAGAAAGAAAACCTAGTGTGACATCACCCCTCACAGGTGAAAATGAAAGTCACTTTGCATATTATGATTATACTTTTTATCAAAATGAGTACTGTCATTCACATTCAACCCCAGAGGCCTGAATTTTGGTTGTTTGGAAAAAAAGGATGAAATTCAATGCATAAAATTTCAAAGCACTGATAATATTCTAGCATATTACTATGAGAGATCATTATTACTTTACAATAAAATAAAAAAGGCTCAATTTCTTCATGCAGTTATCTGAGTCTTCAATTTCTAAAAGATCTTATAGAACGATATTTAAATAATAGTTCTGGTGAATATGCTTAACTGACTTTTTATGCAAACCCTTGTCACTAAAAAATAGGAAAAAAACAGTGCAATAAAAATTCAGTATTGGTGAAATGAGAATATAACTTCAAAAAATATATCTTTTTCATAATGTTCCCTTCCCCACTATTATTATCTATCACCATGAACTGGCTGGTGCTGGATAACCATCTGTGGGATAAATTGCAGAATTTCCAGAATCTCCTGCCTAGCCTTACCGTTTACATATCAATAGGTGTTTACTGCTGCAACCTCCCACAGCCTCCAGGGAAAGGGGTGGAGAGATAACAGCTATTCTCTTCTTCCCTCCATTCCTGGTTCGTAATTGGTCTGGCAACTGCCAATCACTAAAGACCCACCAATGAAGTTCCTCCTGGAAGGGGCAGAGGGAAGTAGAGAGTACACTGAGGTGGCAGAGTGCTAGCAGTGGCCGGAGGAGATGTATGGGGTGCCTAGCTAGCAAGTTTGAGCAAGCTCTGAGCAATAAAAAATAATTACTCCAAACCTATACTTTCCCTTGACTTATTTTGGTTTCACCAGTTTCATTAGAAATTTGCCCCATGTCAGGAACACCCTTCTCCCTGGAGCTATACCATCCAATGTGGGGATGATGATAAAAGGATTATATGGAAGGGTGGAAGAAGGGAAGGAAACTCTAAAGTAGGTATTTCCAGGTATTGAAGACTAAAATGAACACCCAGTGATTTCAGTGGAAACATGAATTATTTTTCATTCACATATATATTTCACATGCACTTCTTTTGAAATAAGAACATTTTAAGTGAAATTCTTTAATAAAAAATGTGGAAATTTATAGTATTTCTGTCAGTTCCTCATTTTTTATATTTTTGTCTTAGATTGGCAAAGAAATTATAGCATCATCGAATGATTAAATTACTTAATGGCATCAAATCATTTCAACTTAGTTTGTTATGTAAACATCTACTCAAATCAACAATCATATCATGTTCAAGCAGTTCAGATTCCTTAAAATCATTAATGTCTAGGTTATCCCAGAGGAATTCACAATTAATTATTTCTTTGAATAACACAATGTAGCAATATTTTACTGTTTATTAAACGTATAACAGTAATTCTTTTCCAAGGATAATTATCCTAATTTACATATCCTATCAGAATAATATAAAATTGAATATAGTACCAAAATAATTTCTATCATAGGAGATGATAAATACAAAGCTTTAGACATGATAATACATTTCTAAAGTGAACCATAAATACCTAAGTAGGTTTGGAGTCCACGCTGCTTTAAATACTTTTTAAAAAGTCAACTACATATGTGGGCTGAGAAAAAAATATATCATGTGTTCTTCTGTTCCATTAAATTACAATTTTGTTTTATTTAAAATTAATTGAAAACTTAGGAAAGTATGACTTGAGGCTATGGCTTTTATACATTGCTTCACTGACTAACAGAGACTCTCGACGCACCCTTCATTTACTTGACCGATTCGTCTGTCATCTTTACCCTCCCACTGCTCTCCCACAGGTTTTCCAACTCCAACATATGTTTGTACAAGTTCATCTGAACTCTTTTTCTTTTTAATAAGATATTGCCTGTAAGTGGGAATTTTTACCACTATGTACATTGGCCAATAGTTCAGGCAGATTTTATCTTCAGGTAAATGTAGAAATGGGTTCTACTTCTAACATTCAATATAATCAGTATATTTTGTGATTTCACTGAATTACTATTATGTTCATTTTGACAATAAGAAATTCAAGACAATTCTGAGTATGATACCATGCCTGTAGAATGTACTGAAATTAATTAGGAACTATATGTATTACATTGTACTTAGCATATTTACTTATGTTTTAGGGGACATAACTTGATGTAAGGTATATCAGAATCCTTATTACTGTAAGCCCAGTACAAGTGGGACCAGAGGTGCAATGAAGCTTGATTTAGGATATTGGAGTTTTAATGCTGGCTCTACTGCAAAGTACAGTAACTTGAAAAGTTCTTGACTATTCCAGTTTTATTTATCTGTAAGATAAAGATAGTTGACTATAGTTTATCTTTTAGTTCCTGTTAGCTATAAAATTTACTTAGGATTTTACTGTATCTGAACTTACAGAATGAAAGCTATCACTGAGAAATTTTCAGTATCAACTTTTTTATCTTTAATCTTTGGTTTCCATAGCTATTCATAATAAGATTCACCTTAGGATGTTTATGAAATGTGGATTTTCCACTACAGACTTGTGGAATCAGTATAGCACATGCAATTTAAAAAACTTTTACAGTATTTCTGACATAGCTCTTCTTGCCTTTGTTGTTTCATAGAACAATTTGGAATTTTATGATAAGAAATAATCCTTTTTCACTTTGTTCAAAAACATACAATGGCAAATTAAAGTTATAGTTTTGAAGTCCTGAAAAAGAAATGATGTATTACTCTGTTGCAAATAACTGAATATGCAATAGGCAGATCCATGTGTTTCCACATTTAATTATATGATATTACCTTTTTCCTTCCGGGAAGTTGGAACCTTCACTTGCTTCCCCTTAATAGGCTCTGGAAAGAGACATTGAGCATTTATTTGAAGCCATATTAAGAAGATTTGAGAACATACCTGCAATGATATTAATAAGCTACAGTGAGATATTAATAAGCTGATGGAAATGATATGATGCTTTATTTTAAGAACAATTTCAGTCATACAGAGACAAAGAAACAACAGCAAGCAGCTCAACAAGCCATCCTCTGAATACTTTCATTTAAAATAAATATAAATTGTTGAATGAGTTATGGTCGATTTTTTCATTAATGGGATGGGTATTTGGATGGATAAGAACTTATTTATCTGTAATTTAAAAAAAATACAGATTTAACATCTAGAAATCTCCCAAAATGGTTGTAATCAGCAGTAACTTAGTTTATTTCTTGCAGGCTATGTTTTTTTCAAACAATAAACAATCAAATGGAAAACCTTGCATATATCATGCGAATGTGTTCTTTTAGGTATCAAACTCAAGCCAAACTAATTTCAAGAATAAGACTAAAATTAAATATGATAATGTCATCTTTGAACTCCTAACATCTTAAAACTGAGGTCCTTAATTAAAAGAAATTAATTTATTCTAATAAGTTCAAATATGAAGTGATTCTCATCATATTGTGTGTTCCAGACATAAGTGTGGTCAATGTCTTGGTGATATTATTGTTCCTCAACAGCCTATATTAAAGATAAATCAGTTTTTTGCCTCCTCTGCAACATTAATTTTAGTATCCATTTTACTGACCAAACAATAAAATATTACTTTTAATGGAGTAAGGAAAGAAGAAATAAAAGAAATCTATCCTTCCCACCCTTTTTTCTATTCCCACCTTATGGTGTGGGGTGGGAATGCAGAAAATATGATGTTAACGCCATGGTATATGGTATAAATAGATATGCCACTCAAGCCATTACTTAGAATTAACTGAGTCCAGGTGACTTTGGATGGTGCCAAGAATGGACTTAGGGAAGCTATCGAAAAGGCTGTGAGTCTCTGGGTAGTTAAGATACACTCCTAAGCATCCATATGCTTGCAAGATTTTATAAAATGGCTTTGGTAGCAAAGAAATGTCTAAGTATAAATTGGGCTGGTTCTTTTCTATACTTCATCATGTGAAGATGAAATCAAAAGCCATGGATTGAATAAACACATTCAGAGGCTTCATTAACTTTTTTTCCCAGCTGATGCGGGTAATTTACTGCTCATGTATTTCCTGGCCAAACTGAAAGAATTAATGTGTTGTGAAATGAGAAGTGGTGGTGGGGACAGATTCCCAGGGGGTTGGGAGAGCACAATGCCTGGAAGTTCAGAATTCAAGATTCAGCATGTTGACTTAAACGGACAAGTGTATATACTTGTGTGAGATTAAAGTAGTTATGAAACACAGAGCATAGGAAGAGGACACATATTTGCTTTGACTTTGGTGAAGAAAGAAGGAAATAACAAATACACTTTTATAGGGAATTTGAAGGTCATAAAACCATCACTTTAGATTTGGAGAAATTTCTCAGAAAATAGAAGTGACTTTTATTTCCAAGTTTACAAACGGGAAAATGTCTTCTGCTCCCAAGCTTGGTAATACTCTGCACTGACTTTCCTGCAGCTCATTTCCTCTCAGTGTCCTGACTGCAAGGAGTCTGGACATGAGTTAGGGAGCTCACCAGCTGGTCTCAGCAATCCCTGACTACCCAAGGAAATGAGTGGGATAGCAAACATGACAAAAATGTAGCGTGTTATATGGAAATTCTGCTCTTCCTTATTAGCAAGCATAGATAAATGATTGGTTGGGGTCAACTATTAAGGCATTTTCAACTCATCTGTGTTGTTTGTCAGAAACAAAGCATTGGAAAGTCCTTTTTTGTGTTTTGTTTTTATAAGTAAGGTATTTTCTTTGTATTTGACCAAGAGCCAATGGGAAGCCTTATGAATCTTGATTATCAGGATCTAGATACATATTTAAAGGTGCTGTGATATAAATTGGAACTCTCAAAGTAGTCTGGACTAGGAGGTAGGAGGTTGTGATGGATAAAAAATTCACGAAGTATTAAGATATTTTCAGGTTTTCCACTCCCATACATTGCCCCAGAAAAAGGGAGTAAGTAATAAACTAGGGTCAGTGTTCATGATGAAGTAGATTGATGAGGATCAGTTTCAAAATCCTCAGACAACTTACCCCATCTTTAGCTCTAGCATTTGTTTAATGAGTGGCAATGGCTGAGAGAAACCATGTTGAAGACGAGTAGAAGTTGGGGGATCATCGGGTACATGGTCCTGAGTGTCAGAATATAAAGGAATAAGGGCTCTGCTGAGGATCCTTTGGCATTAGATCCACAGATACACATGCCTGGGTCACGAAACTAGTCAATAATTCTAACATCTACCATACTACTCCAATACTAGAGGAAGCCAATGGTGCTACTATTATATTCTCAGTAGAGGAGAAATTAATGAATCTCTTTGTGGCTTTGGGTTCAGTCTACAGTTCTTCAGTCAATGGGTGAATCTTGCATGCTCAGGGTTGTAAGTCAAATTATGAGTCAGACCAGGGGTCGAAGACAAGTGGCAATAGAATAGGAGTGGATGCCACAAAGAATATAACCAAGTATGAAATGACTGTCAGCATTGTCTGATTTCTGGGTGTTCAAGGCCACATAAACAGTGCTCTGCTCTGGTAGGTTTGAGTGTTGAGAAGATTTAGGTGGCTCTACTAGCTAAGGAAAGTCAGGAGCTGAGCCAGCAGCAAAAGCCAGCAGAAGTGTCTTTCTCCTGCTCTTTTTCTTCTGGAACAATCACTTCCCTGGTTTTAGAATTGTAGTATTGTTTCAATATGGGTTCTGATGTGTACATGCAAGTGGATTCTGTGAGAGTTTGGTAAGTGGAGGCAACATCTTTACTGCTTAATATAAATAATTTGTAAAATACAAGGACTCCAATGCAGTAAGTGGTTTTCTGGCAAGTGGAATTGCTGCATTCTGATTCTGCCACAGGTCAGCAATAGGCTTCAAAGAGTTTCTCCAGAAAGAATAACACTACAGAGGTTTTCTGAAATCATACAGTTAACAGTGCAATTTTTTTCTTTGATTTTTTTAGTAGTAATAAATTATAGTCAGTAAATCAAGGAAAGATGGCAATGAAATTCTCCTAAAACATTATCCAACTTATATATATACAACAATGACATTCAAGGTCATTAGCACAGCTTGGATTTTTAAAAAGGTGCATTTTAAATAGTTCTAAACCAGTAATCATAAGCAGTAATATATATTACATAATTTTCTAGTGACCATGGAGATATTTTGCGAATGTAGAGGATTTAACTTTGAAGAAAAGGTCTCACTAGGAAATTTCCTGCAATTATACATTTGTAACAACAACAATAATAGAAATTACAGGAGCCTACTTAGTGAAGGGATCAGTGTAAATTTAAATCCCCTAGATAATGTTTTTCAGGACAGGACTTTACAATTACCATTTCCAACTAGATTAGGACTTGGCACAAATGAAATCTTTAATAGTTTAATTTTTTGATAATCATCATTGCCTAAAGGGTAGTTTTGGAGGTAAGCCTCAACATTTCTTCTGAGCTGCTTTTACAGTAAACAGCAATATGTGGTCCAAATATTCCTGTGACATAAATGCAGACCAAAATAAATGAATTTCAGACCACATTGAAAGGAGGGATAGTTTAGATTTTTCCAGTTGTGATTTGCAAATCATATATTTTCCTGGTAGTATGTTTCAATGACACTTTTTGTTTTCACACAATCTAAGACAATATTTTTGTTAATTGTCAGATAAAATTAAAGTAGAGGATGAGAAGGAGTTCTCTCCCAAAGTACAGGTAATCACTGGAGAAAAATAGACTAAACACCTCTGTGGGAATTAATGAGAGTCAAACAACAGCAAAAGAACTAAGAATATTTTTCCCATACTGCATAGCCAATGTGTCTATGTCAAATAGATTTTTCAAGCTTAGGTAATGAGTTCTACACTCAAAGCAAGGTGCTTTGAAGCATACAATTGCAAAAACCCTATTTTAAGGAGCAAGTAGTGTCTGTGTTAAAATGAAAAGATGCATTTTAAAGTCTGATGACTTGACTTTGATTATCGCATTTGCCTCTCACACACAATCTAACATTGAGTAGCTTACATTACCTATACCTCAGCTTCCTTGTCTATGAAAATTGAGATATTCATCACAACTTGCTGAAACAAAATGTGTAAAGTAGGGGTATCAATGTTCCTGGCAAAGAGCAGATGCCCTGCTTCTGTACTTCTCCTAAATAATCCTCACTTCTTTGCCTGGCTAACTCTCTATCCTCTGACATGAATTTAATATAACTTCTTCAGGAAAGCCTTCTCTGATTCCCCATGCTTGTTTAGGATAACCATTTACACTCTCTTATAGCACCCTGTATATGTCCTCTATGATTCTTAGGTTCAATTAATTATGTAATAATTTATATTGTAAGTTTCATGAGGGCATAGACCTATTCCTAGAGTCTAGTGAGTGCATGTTCTGATTACTGTATAGCAAATGCACAAAAAGTAATTATTAAATCTTTGTTTCTCCAATGATTAGCAAATGCTTGAAAGGCTTATACAATAAATATATATTTTATGAATGGATAGCATGCACGAAAGTTAGACCTTTATATATATATATTCACATATGTGTGTGTGTGTGTGTGTGTGTGTGTGTGTGTGTGTGTGTGTATACCCTTTTCATTCTTTAAGGAAACCCTTTTTCTATTTTTCTTCTTTTGGAAATTATAATCAGAGCACTTTTTAGGTTACAATAAACTGGAAGAAAGAATTTCAGTGAAAAATAAATATTTTCTTTCTAGTAAGTTTTCAAAAATATGAGTGTGACCTGTGCAATTTTGACCAATACTCCCACAAAGTGAATGACTCTAATGTACTATGGACTCATTCTGATATGTTTGCTGTAAGTTAAATTGACTCTATTACCTTTATCCTTCAGAACAGGAGAAGTCTTCCCAGATATTTCTTTTCTAATTTCTGCAAGAGGAATCATGGAGAGAAAAGGTTACAAGTAATCATACAGAAAAACTGCAAGTTTCTTCATGTGCTATGTCATGAGGCTTAAAAACCCAAAGGGGATTGGAGTTGATATTCAAGGCACAAATATCTACTGAGATAAATTGCCTGTAAGGAATTGAGCTAAATATGCAGAAGATACAAAACAAGCTTACAAATAATTATCATTATCACAGGGACAAACTATAATAGACAAAAACGTACATATAAAATGCAATGGGTTTTGGAGAAGGATATGATGACAATAATAACTAACATTATCTACTTAACTATGTGTCACAGTCTATGTTCTCTATTGCTTTGCCATTTCAATGTTCACAACAACCCTATAAGTTAGGTAGATCCTGTCATTATTCCTGCTTTTCACATAAAGGTATAAATAGCTTCCTCCAAGGTCATGTAGTTCATGATAGGTGCCTTGGGATTTGAACTAATGTCTCTTTCAACTCAACCACAAAGATACGGGCTCTGGTAGCTGAATAATGGGATCAGGAAGGCTTTGGCATGTGGTACTGAGGAAGATCTTGAAAGATGGAAATGAATTAGACCAACAGAGATGAAACAGAAATACACATTTTAAAAGAACAGAAGAGCCAATGGGAGGCCTGTGTGGGGCAGTTTGTCAGTTCGGCTGTGTGCATCACTTGTAGCCAATAGAACAGGGTGAAAGCGATGGTATGTGACTTCCTAGGCTCTATCAGGAAATGTCATGCAGGTTCCACCTGCTTCTCAACGGACACAAACTCTGGGGAAGCCTACTGCCACGTAAGTACTCCAACCAACACCAGTCGAGTCAACAGCCCCAGCTGAATTCCTAGCCAACAGCTGCCAGCCATCTAAGTGAGCTATCTTGAACATCCAGGAATCTGCTACTTTTGATGGCTATAGTCCAAGCCTATCTCTGACTGCAATCACATGAAAAAGCAGTGAAAACTGCCTAGTCTATCCTTCCTGAATTACTGTTCCCCTAAATATTGAGCAAAGTAAAATCACTTGTTTTACACCACTAAGTTTTGGAGTTGTCTGTACACAGAAACAGTATTTGGAATAGCTGATAAACAGCAAAATATTGCACCATGTGATGTTCTTCAGTGGTGCTGTAGAGATGAGCACAATTATATATAAAGAGAAAAAAATTAATTTTTTCTACTTTAAAAATTGGGGAAGGTTTTCCCTGGGGAGAAGCCAATTTGGTTAAGTGTCCTAAGTAGGATTTCACTGGTCAGGAAACACCAATTTAACAGTATAACTGAAAGTAGGATGTAAATTAGATTTTTTAAAAAGCTAATGATGGCTCCTAGAACTCTTACATTTTTCACAGAAGTATAACTTGCTATGAATTGAGATATGAAATGTGGGGAAAAGAAAATGTCTAGCAAGCAGTTGGAAATATGTCAAGTACAGATTACACTCAAGTTTTGCAGAAGTAAAGCAACATGCAGTCTGATTTATAAATGGAACCTAACAATGCAACCAGTAACATGATTTTTTAAATGTCCCAAACAAATCTTATTTGCTTTGCTCACACGTTAACTTGACTTCATGAGTAAACTGAGTATACAAAAGCAAATCAAACCTGAAAGTTTTAAATTGTGTTCTTTATAATACCTGCAAATTAAAAAAAGACCTGTTGTCCTTGGTAATAATGTTTTACTTTCATGTTTCAAATCCAATCCCATATAATTTGCCTACATTGTTCATACATTGGTAGTAATACATTTAATTTTATACATTTGATTAGCAATTTCCAGATGTTAAAAAATGAACACACAGATTGTGATCAAAATACCTATGTAAGTTTTAAATAATTTACTATATAAAATTTATTCAAGATAAATATATTCAATTTCAAAAAATTCAGGAATTTTTTAAAATTCTGAATATATTTAACAAAGAAAAATAGAAAATGATATCTGCTTCTTTTTCTCACATCTGTAGAAGATAAAACACATATATAGTAATAGTGTTTCCTTCTGTAGGAATTTTTTAAAGAGACCCACAAAACACAAAAGACTAAAATAATTTGCAAGCTTGCAAAAGAGGAAATCAGCACCAGAGTTCTTCCCCAGCATGAACTTAAATATTTTGGACCCTAAAAATAGTAGATTTTTATAAAAATAGTAGTAAGTAATAATATCTTCGATTTAACTATTATTTACTATTTGTTGCTCTGAATGATCAAGCTCAATATCAGTTTAAGATTAGTGACTAATTAGAGTATTAGGAAAAGTATTTCTGTTGGAGCATCCTGGCTTGATGTCAATGTGAAGTACAGCTAGACTGAAAAAGAAACAGATTGGAAGGTTTAAAAAATACATCCTAATAGAATCATCGGGCAATTTAGGCCTTCTGGCTCTATAAAACACCAATCTCAAAATTCTTAATGTTTCTCAACCAGCAAGCTCTAGTGAAGTGCTAAGAAAAATTATTTCAAATGCTGTATCTTTTACCTCTTTTGTAGATATAAGATGCCTGCTGATTTGAGATATATTTTACATGAGTATAATGAATAAGATCTTTGTACTAAACTTTTTGTATTTTTCTTCTGATACAAAAAACAAAGAGCCATGTGGTGGACTCTATCCATAAATTCAGTGATACCTGGTAATTTCACAGAATATGACTATGAATGTACATCACATAACATTAAAAATATTAAAATTATCTCATAATGTCTCTATTGCTTCCAAAAGTGCTACTGCATTGTCCCTCAAGTGATTTAGTTGTGATTAGTTGTGGGATTTTTAAATTTTGGATATGCAAATGCCCTACCTGCATCTATCATTGTTTTATGTTCATTTCATCATAATGTTTGTCAATCAGGAGTATTTTAGAAGAGATATATTGTAGCATTTTTATATCTCTTCCAAACTCCAAAATATAAATTTCACAAGTACAGATAAAAGCATTTTCAAGTTGTCCAAGTGTTTTTAAATATTGTACTTGTAATTCTCATGAGGAAAACATAATATAGTGATGTTTCATATAATTCTAATTCTGAATGCTCCTGAAGGATGTTGTCAGAGATTAATTTTGCTCAGGACACTGTCCATTAACTTTGTAATTAAGTATGACTTGGTGGGGAAGCATCTTTAACTTTCTCTATGTCTTAATGATACATTTAATCATCCCCTTTTCTATGGACTAAAGAACTTGACACACATATTTTTTACATTTTAAGGTGTTTTTCTCTAAACATCTGTTTAAAAATTCTTAATCTAAAATATTTGTTATTAAACCATATGTTGGTGTCTAGTTTTTAAAACCTTGGAACCTTCATTGTATTTATTTCTTAGCCTTTCTGTTTTATTAAAAAATAATATAATTTTATAAACCTATATTATCATCTATCTCTAATTGTACAGACTAGTTTAAAAGCATAACAATATAAAATCTGTTTGAGTGACATCTGACAATGTTGTCAGGACTTGGAGACTATGGTGAGGTATCCCTCAAGAAATTGTAAATGAGGGAAATTAGACTGTTTTCTGAAAGTTAAGCTAAAGAATCATTAGTTCTGAAGGCACTAACTGTACAACACTGTAAATATACCTCTGAAGAGCTTTGCAGTCACCACAGAGGAGGAAGTCTTGTCCGGTGAACTCAGTATTCTAGTCCTTTTGACAAGCTCTTCCTTATAGTATATAGTTCTTCAAATTGTCTTACTGGGAGACTCTCCTGAAATCATCTAAATGCCCCCTCTCCTTAACTAAATTCTGATTGAACTGTATAATTATGATAACTTCAGACTGTGTAGCACAGCTACAAGGAGAGGACCCCTCACACAAGTTTTTATACTCTGGTTCTCATTACATGTTAATAATCAGAATACTAACCAGAATTCTAGAGTGTACTTCAGTGGGGCACAGTTGGACACATTGTAGTTAATCTGACCCCAGCTCTTTCAGAAAGAGCGGCACTGTGCAATGATTTACAAAAATAAGATGAGCATACCTTTCATATTTGGGGACTAAAATGAACTATGACATCCAGGGCACAGAATTACTGAGCCTGAATTCTCCTACAAAAGTCTTCATTTTTTAAAGAAAACTTTATTAGTCATGAAATTTTCCTTGTGTAATTATGTCCAACTGAAGATGTCAAAGTTCCCATGTTTGTTTCAAGAAAAGATTTTACTAAAAAACTGTAATTTCCCTGAGGGTAGGCAAAGCTAGGTCTTGGTCATTCCTGCCTTCACATATAATGACAAAGTGTTATTCTGTATAGTTAGACATGTTTACATAAGATCTTGAACAAATAACTTGTCCAAAGTCACAGCTATTAAATAGCGATGGGAAATGTGAACCAAACCATTTGACTACAAAATTAGAGCTAAACTACTACATTATGCGCTGGGAGCATAGTGGATTATGAAGTAGATGGCACCTCAGGTGGCCCCTACGAGAGAAGAGTGAGCACATATACATCATTACGTCACGTCATTCTTCATAACCGCCAGACTACCAGAGCCTCCAAACAGTTCTTCTGAGGCAGAGACCATGTCGTCTGGCACATACTAGGAACTCAATAGTTATTTGTTAAATAAATTAATAAACTTGACAAATTTTGCACTGATCACATTTTATTAGGAAACTTGCTTTTTAATCTTTACTCAAAAACCTAATAATTATTATAAACATCTATCATAGTTATTTCCCAAATTGGCAATCCCAACCCAGTAAGGTGTGAAAATAAAATAAAATTGCTAATATATAACATTTTTCATAGGCAAAAAAATAAAATTATGTGTATTGCCATATAATATTTACATATCATTTTGCTTTTTGTTATCTAAGAAGTTTTTGTTATCTAAGAATTTCAAATGTTGAATAATCTCACACACCTATATTTCTATTTATTTCATCCAATTCTTAAAAATAATCTCAATCATCTATTCGTTTTAAATAGTCTTTTTCACTACAATCATGTCGATTATAAATATTCTATATTGTTTTTGAACT